TTCAACATCCCTCAACTTTCCTCTAACATTCCTTGTATTAAGCAAGTCCATCTGTTTGCTATCATGTAGCCAGCTACTTACAAATTCACACAGATATTGACAAAGATTACTCATTTTTATTTGTACTAAAGCTAGTTCTGATTTCATACCTAGAACATGACGGGGCTACCATTTTAGAGCCAAGCAGTCTTTATATCTCGTGGAAGGCCCTGGAAAGAGCTCACTCAAATAGCACCCAGAACGTCATAGGTGTATAATGATTTTTAAAATGTTGATTTTAAACAGGCTTTGGTGAAAATGCCAAAGAAAAATAACAGGTGAAGTGACTAGCTATGATAGCCAATATGCATTTTAGGGTTGATACATTTTAAATTTATACATTTCTTCAGTAACAAAGAATCAATGACTTCTAGATTTAGAAAGACTGTTGAAATCATCTAGTTCAGGCATTCATTTTATAAATCAGGTAAATGAGGCCCAGAGAGGTATTTACTTACATAAAATACATAGCACAACAAGGATAAAAACTTAGATCCCTAAAACCTAATCTAACAATAATTATATAGTCTTCCCTGATGAAATCTGAGTTTCTTGAAGCCTCTGAAACTAAGAAAGGTCCTAGCAGAAATACCAAATTGTAGACTATTACAGCTAGAAAGAAACTTAAAGAAAATCCAAATTCTTCTACTTTTATACATGAAAAAGAAAAGGCACTTAAAAGTTAAGTAATGTGTCTCATATTCAGATAGTTCCAGATACAGCAAGGACCAGAATACAGGCCTCTTTGATCCCAGTCCTCTTTCTGCTATGCCAGACCACACTTTAAATGTATTTCACACTCTCTCATAGACAAAATTAATATTATTACATGACTTGGAAATAAGAGACAATTTTTTTTAAACTGAAGTATAGTTGATTTACAATCTTGTGTCAGTTTCAGGTGTACAGCAAAATGATTCAGTTTTATATATATAAAACTGAATATATATATATTCTTTTTCAGATTCTTTTTGCTTATAGATTATTACAAAATATTGAGTATAGTTCCCTGTGCTATACAGTAGGTCCTTGTTGGTTATCTATTTTATATATAGCAGAGTGTATATAACAAACGATTTATAGCTTCTCTTAGGGCTTGCTTCTCCTTTAGTACATCTAGTGAATCAAATTAGATGAGGCATGAACAGTCTTAACTTCTTAAAATTAGTTTAAGATCAGGTTAGTGGGCAAAAGTTATGTTAAGTGTCACACTAACAACTACAACAAGGATTGTATTACTTTTATGATCTCTTCTGAGAATACAAAATCTCTGTGGCTAGGGATTTTAATTTTATTCATTAAAATATCTCAAATGCTAAAACAGTATCTAATATACAGCAAGCCCTCAAAAAATATTAAATAATTCAACTTTCTTGGAGCTAACTAGTTTAAAGATCTTCTATTTTTCATCAATATCTTACAATTGTATTTGAAATCCCAACTTTCCATTTTGGTTCTCATTCCTTAATTTTAAGGTAACAGAGGTTATAACTGGAAAAAATAATATATGTATATTTACATATTTAGTGTATATATTTAAACATAATATACATTAACAATGTTTAAGAATATATTTATATAGAGAGATGTATTATACATGCTATATAATACAGATATATTTAATATGATATAGATATCTAGATGTCTATCCTAGACTGGCATTAAAATTCTTCAGATAATCTCTGTAGGAAGAAAATGTTCTAACAGAGATGCTAAATAACCATGTTAATACATAACTGTGTGGGTTTCTACACTGGTTATTTATTTGATCCCCATTTGGCTTTATTTACATAAAATAAAACAAAATATTCTCTGATCTAAGTTGTATTAAACTATCTAGTATAAAATCAATTCCCTGAGCATTTAATTTTGAATTTTTTTGATAAAGATATTCCCTTATGAACACTGTTAATATTGGTTCATTTAGTATGTTTTTATTTTAAAAAATATTCTCTAGGTCTGTAAGATAAAAAGGAAAAACCAATTCTCTTACCTAGGAAAAATGAAAATATCCCTGTTATGAAGATTAAAGTAACTTTTCCCATAAGCCTTCCCAGAGAGAACGCCATGCAAAGTAGAGAATATTCTCAGCAACAGCAAACTAAACACTGCGACATGTTTCATAGAAGTATTTTTTCAACAGTTCTTCCACTTAAGCCAAAATGTAATTCAATATAAGCAAAGCTATGGTAAGCAAAAATTATATGGCTCAGATAGCTGTTTTCTGGGCTGACTTAATTGAAGGATAGTTTTTATTTATTTATTTTTATTATTTATTTCTTATTTAATTCTGTTTTTTCCCCCAGTTCTATTGAGATATCTCTTTTTTTTTTTTTTGCTACACCACGCGGCTTGTGGGATCTTAGTTCCCCAACCAGGGATTGAACCTGGGCCATGGCAGTGAAAGCACCAAGTCCTAACCAATGGACCTCCAGGGAATTCCCGAGATATAACTCTTTAGAGACTCTCTGGACTCTTTAGGGCTGAGGTCTCTCAACTTCTTTTGAACACATTGCCCCATCAGTTAAAAAAAATTTTTTTTGAGCATACATCCCCTATATACAGTGCATATATATACATATATATAAATTAATACATATAGACTCCATAGAATTTAGTTGTGTACAGATGTTCCTTGATTTATGATGGGGTTACATCCCAATAAATTCATTGAAGGTTGAAAATATCATAAATTGAAATTTTTTTGGGCCTCTCACTGTTGTGGCCTCTCCCATTGCGGAGCACAGGCTCTGGATCCGCAGGCTCAGCGGCCACGGCTCACAGGCCCAGCCGCTCCGCGGCATGTGGGACCCTCCCGGACCGGGGCACGAACCCGTGTCCCCTACATCAGCAGGCGGACTCTCAACCACTGCGCCACCAGGGAAGCCCCATAAATTGAAAATTTATTGAATACACCTAACCTACTGAAGTATCATAGCTTAACCTTGCCTACCTTTAACATGCTCAGGACACTTATAGCTTACAGTTGGGCAAAATCATCTAACACAAAGCCTACTTTATAATAAATTGTTGAATATCCCATGTAATTTATTGAATACTGTACTGAAAAACAGAATGGCTATAGGGGTGCAGAATGGACGTACTGATTGTTTACCGCATGATTGACTGTGAGTTGTGCCTCGTTGCTGCCGCCCAGCAACATGAGAGCACGGTACCACATATCACTAGCCCAGGAAAAGATCAAAATTCAAAGTACAGTATCTGGGCTTCCCTGGTGGCGCAGTGGTTGAGAGTCCGCCTGCCGATGCAGGGGACACGGGCTCGTGACCCGGTCCGGGAAGATCCCACATGCCGTGGAGTGGCTAGGCCTGTGAGCCACGGCCGCTGAGCCTGCGCGTCTGGAGCCTGTGCTCCACAACGGGAGAGGCCACAACAGTGAGAGGCCCGCGTACCGCCAAAAAAAAAAAAAAAAAAAAAAGTACAGTCTCTACTGAATTTGTATTTTGAACCATCTTGTAAAGTTGAAAAATCTTAAGTCTAACCATCGTAATAAAGGGACTATTTACACATACATATATATATGTGTACTAATTTATTTTTATATTGTAAACTTTAAAAAGATAAAGTAATAGTAAGTATTAATAGAAGTCCTCTTGTTTTCTTCCTACATTCCAATGTTTCATTTTGTGCACGCTTTGGGATGATTCACCCCATTTTGGAGCTCATACATACAAAGGAATGACACTCCACTAATAATTTTTTTCCCCAACTAAGCTTTTAAGTAAACACTGGGCAGCATGACTTCAAGGTTATTTCTTTGAACAAATATCTAGAGGGTAGCTATGCAGCTGGTTAGTGTCGAGTCAAATACTTTTATAGTCAGGAGATGGTGGGGGGAGTGACGTATCTTATGAGAACTGAACTTACTAGGACACACATTTGGTTAGAACTCTATTCTTTTTCTTTTTTTTTAAACATCTTTATTGGAGTATAATTGCTTTACAATGTTATGTTAGCTTCTGCTGTATAACAAAGTGAATCAGCTATACATATACATATATCCCCATATCCCCTCCCTCTCGCATCTCCCTCCCACCCTCCCTACCCCACTCCTATAGGTGGTCACAAAGCACCGAGCTGATCTCGCTGTGCTACGCTGCTGCTTCCCACTAGCTATCTATTTTACATTTGGTAGTGTATATATGTCAATGTTACTCTCTCACTTCATCCCAGCTTACCCTTCCCCCTCCCCGTGTCCTCACATCTGCGTCTTTATTCCTGTCCTGCCCCTAGGTTCGTCAGGACCAATTTTTTTTTTTTTTTTTTTTTTTGGTGGTAAGGGGGCCTCTCACTGCTATGACCTCTGCCGTTGCGGAGCACAGGCTCCGGATGCGCAGGCTCAGCGGCCATGGCTCACGGGCCTAGCCGCTCTGCGGCATGTGGGATCTTCCCGGACCGGGGCATGAACCCGTGTCCCCTGCATCGGCAGGTGGAATCTCAACCACTGCGCCACCAGGGAAGCCCTACTGTTTGTAGATTTTTTGATGATGGCCATTCTGACCGGTGTGAAGTGATATCTCATTGTAGTTTTGATTTGCATTCCTCTAATGATTAGTGATGTTGAGCGTCCTTTCATGTGTTTGTTGGCAATCTGTGTATCTTCTTTGGAGAAATGTCTATTTAGGTCTTCAGCCCATTTTTTGATTGGGTTGTTTGTTTTTTTGATATTGAGCTGCATGAGCTGCTTGTATAGTTTAGAGATTAATCCTTGGTCAGTTGCTTCATTTGCAAATATTTTCTCCCATTCTGAGCCTGTCTTTTCGTTTTGTTTATGGCCTCCTTTGCCACGCAAAAGCTTTTAAGTTTCATTAGGTCCCATTTGTTTATTTTTGTTTTTATTTCCATTTCTCTAGGAGGTGGGTCATAAAGGATCGTGCTGTGATTTATTTATTTATTTATTATTATTTTTTTAAACATCTTTATTGGAGCATAATTTCTTTAAAAATATGGAACGCTTCACAAATTTGCACGTCATCCTTGCACAGGGGCCATGCTAATCTTCTCTGTATCATTCCGATATTAGTATATGTGCTGCCGAAGCAAGCTCTGATTTATTACATAGAGTGTTCTGCCTATGTTTTCCTCTAACAATTTTGTAGTGTCTGGCCTTACATTTAGGTCTTTAATCCATTTTGAGTTTATTTTTGTGCATGGCGTAAGGGAGTGTTCTAATTTCATTCTTTTACATGTAGCTATCCAGTGTTCCCAGCACCACTTATTGAAGAGGCTGTGTTTTCTCCATTGTATATTCTTGCTTCCTTTATCAAAGATAAGGTGACCATATGTGCGGGGGTTTATCTCTGGGCTTTCTATCCTGTTCCATTGATCTATATTTCTGTTTTTGTGCCCGTACCATACTGTCTTTATTACTGTAGCTTTGTAGTACAGTCTGATGTCAGGGAGCTTGATTCCTCCAGCTCTGTTTTTCTTTCTCAAGATTGCTTTGGCTATTCAGGGTCTTTTGTGTTTCCATACAAACTGTGAAATTTTTTGTTCTAGTTCTGTGAAAAATGCCATTGGTAGTTTTATAAGGATTGCACTGAATCTGTAGACTGCTTTGGGTAGTATAGTCATTTTCACAATGTTGATTCTTCCAATCCAAGAACATGGTATATCTCCATCAGTTTGTATCATACTTAATTTCTTTCATCAGTGTCTTACACTTTTCTGCATACAGGTCTTTTGTCTCCTTAGGTAGGTTTATACCTAGGTATTTTATTCTTTTTGTTGCAATGGTAAATGGGAGTGTTTCTTTAATTTCTCTTTCAGATTTTTCATCATTAGTGTACAGGAATGCAAGAGATTTCTGTGCATTAATTTTGTATCCTGTTACTTTACCGAATTCATTGATTAGCTCTAGTAGTTTTCTGGTAGCCTCTTTAGGATTCTCTATGTATATAGAACACTATTCTTACTCTACAGAAGTAGATCATTCTGTGCCAGAGACAATATGTAGATAAATGGATGATGAAGGCCACAGGTCTAACTCTATATATAATGCAATATTCTACTCTAATATATATTTATATAAAGACATATTCTTGTAACCTGTCTCAACGTACTTGTCAATGATACAATGAAATCTCAAAAATTTAGCCTTGCATATTGCTGTCAAAACCTCCAGTATGTGAATCTACTCTAATGTTTAATATAATGATTCAATAACATACTATTATGCAAAATAGTACGCAAAATCCTTGAGTATTCACTCTGATGACTCTTGGAACAATAATCAGTATTTCCTCAGATTTTATTGAATACTTATGAATCAATCAACAGTTATATTTTTCATGTTTCTTCATTTCTACAATGGTGTGCCTACCCTACAACATTTTAATCACAAATAATTTTGCAGTGATAGGTATTCTTACTCTGCATATTGGTGAAAAGCTTAATAAGAGGGAACTAACACCAACATTTGTTGAGAGTCTACGTGCAAACACTGCTACATGTTTTACAGACAATACATCACTTAACTTTCACAGCAATCCTTAAATGGTGATAATTATTATCCCCATTTCATAGATTAGAACTAAAGGTTGGGGTCAAGGTCACACAGCCAAGATTCAAATCCAGGTCAGTCTGGCTTCAAAGCCTATGCTCCTTCCATTACACTGAAAAAAAGGGTTACAATAACTGAACTAGTCCAAGAGTATCCAGATAAAATGCACAATCTACTAACAAATCTCAAATAAAAGATAATTCCTTTTCATTATAAAAGTCGAATAAAGTATTATAAAGAATGATTATACGTGGTTAAAGCCAAGGTCTTGCAAAATATCACTATAAAACTACCCTCCAATTCTGTTTTAAAGTAGTTTAAAGTTGCTCCTCCTCTATCCTGTCTTTATCCTACAACCCAAACACAGAGCTTAAGAGGGTCAGGGTTGACTACACAGAATTCAGTTGAGTCTGAAGCCCAGATTATTACAGAAGCATTGCCCAATTCTCCCTCCTGAAAATCTCTGCCACAAAACACAGCACAATTCCAAAAATTGCGTGTTAAAAGAACCAAAAGGCAAATAAACTAAATAAGCCTCTTCATCAATAAAAACCTCTCCTTAAAGATCAAGTTTATAAGGGGTAAACTACTGCAACAAGTAATATTATACTAAAGTATAATTCCAAGACACAGTTCACCCCATTATCAAACTGGAAATTAGACTTAGTAACCACCTCACACTTCCAAGAGCTTCTTCATAGTCAGATATGTGGGGAGATAGAGCTGGAAGAATTGGGATCTTCCAGTTTCTTATAGAATTATTTTTTTCAACCACAAGAACATTGTTTTCCAATAGGTTAAAGAGAGAGCTAACATTTACTGAGCATTTATGAAGAATCAAACACATACGTTATCTTTAACTCTCACATCGATCACATTTTACAGAAACTAAGATCTAGGATTTCGCCCAAGGTCACGTCGATAGTAAGCAGCAGCGCAGAATTTAAAACCAGGTCTGTCCACACAAAAAGGTCCAGGGAGAGCTTGTTCAGTAGTAATTTCATAAATAAGGATAGACTTAAACAAACTAGACCTATAGGGCAAGGAATGACACTGACTCAGAAACCGAGTAACACTTCTGCAGGCCTGTCAGCTGGAGCTGAAGGAAGTATGACCTTTACTCCAAACCCTCCAGGGCAGAAAGACAGCTCTTCTCCGCGTGGGTCAATATACCACTACTCATGGAGGGAAAGAGGAGAGAATGAGGATTCCTGGTGGCCCAGACCCTTTCTTGGCCGCAGAAATGGAGAAGGATCAAACCCAGAGGCCCGGTCAGGGTCTGAGTTGTGCCTAAGAGAAGGGGTGCGACAAAGGTCGCAGACTTGAAAATAACGAGTTTATGAGAGATGCTGGAAAAGAAAACATGAAAAGCAGGGAGCATGGGAAAGTACACGGATTCACTTGAGGGAAGGGGGTTGGGGCTGTGGGTGATGCCTCCAGCAGCAGAGTTGTCAGTGGGCCTCAAAACGGAGGGAAGGGACAGGGATGGAAGGTCTCGGTGGGAGCCACTCTGGGTTCATTACCTGCCGGGTGGTTGTACAACGGCCTCAGTTTCTCAGGCAGCAGAAGCTCCACTTTATCAAGGACCCGGTGGTAGGTGGCCAGCAGGCCCCGGGCGCCGGCGGCTGACATTTCTGCGGACGAGTGATCGTGGGCAGCCAGGTAAGGCAGCGGCCGTGTGCTCCTCCCTAGCTGGCAATGAAGGGCAGCTCGTCACTTTCCCCTGTCTCAACGCCTCTCAACGCCTCGCGCCCTCCTCTCCCCCAAGGCAGCTCAGCCTGCTCCCCTGTGAACCGCCCGGCGGCCCGCGCCTAGAGAAGATTGTGGGGGCGGAGACTCTGCGACGGCCCGCCCCCAGCCCGCCTCCTGGTCTCCGACTGCCTAGAGGGAGGAGGAGTCACGGAAACAGGTGGCAACCGGACAGCCTCACCGAGTCAACCCGGTGCCCTACCGGGAGCGCGCTTGCGCAAGCAGAGCGACCCGCGGTGACTGGCCCGCCCCGGGGCGTGGGCGGGGTCCAGACCAAACCTACAATTTCTTCTTCCTGGCCCGGAGGCCATGTTGGAGAAGGGAAAGTGAAGCTGCACCGGCGCTAATCCCCTTTCACTTTGGTTAAGGAGGCCCCTAGATAAAATGGGCTTTTCGGGCCTTCCATGACCCGACTAAAGATGACGCCGCACAACTCTGTTGCTTCCTTTGGAATGAGACTCGTGAGCGCGAGACTTCCGATTTCAGCTTCTTCCGTCTCTATTCCTTATTTATCCAGAGTATTAAGGATTTGACTAGAGTGGTCTGAACCCACTTTTCTAGGGTAAGGGCAGCCCTGGCACACACCTGCCTCAGTCTCCAGGGTGGTCGTTATCTCGCGAGAAAGGCTTGAAAGGGAGGGTGTCGAGAATGAGGAGAGGGAGGAGTCGAGGCCGCCTCCGCCTCCTCCACCTCCTCCTGTAGGAGGGGGTGCTGAGGGAGGGAACAGTTGCTGATCTCTGGATGTTCTGGGTAGTCTTGAGCAGGAGAGTATGAGGCGAGCTCAGGCCCGGGTGCGGCCGGGCTTCGGGGGCGAAGGCGCTGCCGCTGCCACCGCCATCTAACTCGCTGCTACCGCGAGGCCCGGCGCGCGGATGGTGCTGGTGCGGCTCGGGTGTTGATCCGCGTGTCCCCTCCCCCCTTTCCCCTCCCCCACGCGGTGGTCTCCTCTCCTCCCCCGGCCCGGCGGAGCCATGTCTCGAGGTGGCTGCTGCCCACACCTGTTGTGGGACGTGAGGAAAAGGTCCCTCGGGCTGGAGGACCCGTCCCGGCTGCGGAGCCGCTACCTGGGTGAGCGGGGGCCCTGGGGCGGAGGCGCTGAGGTCGCCGCCCAGAGGTGGGGGAGGGGGCCACGCCGCTGGGGCTATTGGAGGTGGGACAGCGCCTGGGCAGGGACGCCCCGGAGACGCCGAGGTGCTGGGTGGACCTTGGCGGACGGATCCCATGCCCGTGTCCTCCCATGGCTAAGTCCCGCTTTCATGCTGCCAGCCGCCGCCCTTACTGGGTTTTCCTTCGGGGGGCCGGACAGGGGGCAGACGGTACTGGCCGAGAAAGGTGTTGGGGTCGCTTCTGGAGTGGGACTCGGGAGAAGACTTGTCGAACCTCCCCGAGCTGCCGCGTTTAGAGCAAAAGTTGGCGCTTTTGCTCTTCTCCAGCGCTCTCCTCGCTCAGCCGAAGGACCTAAGTTTGTGTTGACCGCCCCTCCCCTAAAGTCTCGGGAGGGCTTAGGTGTCCGTGGCGACGCGCTGACCACCCTCGGGGACTCCACGCTCCAAACAGACTCGGTGTAAACTGTTGTGCGGCTCCGAGCCAAAACCTGAAAGTGATAGCTGAGCTCTCCCCACCCCCGCGCGCTTTCCCAGTTGGACTCTGCTGTTCGGTGGTTTCGACCGCTTTAAGGAGGTGTAGGGTTTCACGTTCCCATTCCCACCCCTGTGAAACACACTTGGCATTTACTGTTACTTAGTTAAGCTTTCTAAAAACAACCTTCGATACTTGGGGGAACGGTAGTCCAGTTCTTTTCGTTTTGCGTAAAGTGGATTTGTGAGGATTCTGGGTCACGCCTGAGCTAAAAGTGGACGGATTTAGTAGGGGTCTTTTTTCTTCCTTCCTCTGCAATCTTTTCATTACTCTTTATTCTTTTTCTTTTTTTTTTTTTAATTTGAAGATAAGACAACATCACTAAAATTTTTTTCTTTGCAATTTTGTTACTTTTTGCTAGGTATTTGTTGATGTCATTTGGTTTTGACTTAAAATCAATAAAAGAAAATGAAATTTCGCTACACCTAACAGTTCTGGTTTGTGAGTTATTTGAGAGAAGTTAGCAGGCATTTTTTTCCCCTTGCTCCTGTTTTTTAGTGTCCCAAGTGACACGAATACATTGTCCTTGTAAAAACTTAATAAGAATGAAGCACAAATCCTTGTGATTTCTCCCATTCCAGTTTCACACACACACTCTTTGAGAGGTAACAGTGTTCTCTGTTTCCTGAGTATTCTTCCAGACCTTTTTCTTTGAATTCTTACAAGCACATGTGTACATATAGAAATGCTGTAGGAGTGTGTGTGTGACCTGAATATATGGCGTCATACTGTAAACAACTGTTTTGCAACTTGTTTTTTTTTTTTTACATAACATCTTGGAGATCTTTGCATGGCAGTAAAAATAGATCTATACAGTCTTTTAAACTATTGCAGAGTATTTAACAGTATGAAGGTATCATCGTCGACTCAGCCTTTCTTCTTTTTTGGGACGTTTGCTGTTACTAACAGCACTACAGTGAACCTCCTTGCACATGCTTTTTGTGCATTTGTTCTAGGATAAGTACCTGGAGTGGTGATTAATCATTTTAAAATTTAATATCAATAGAGAGTGCTTTTTAAACCATTAACCTAAAAGATGTGCAATATTTCTTTTAATACGTGCTGAGAAAGAACTTAACTTTAGCTTAATAAAAAAAACTTGTGTTCTACACCAATGAATTTATATGTGGTCCTTTATCTCTATTAGTTGGAGCATTTAAATAAGTAGTACTTATATGCAGGTTTATGTATTAATGTTTTCTGCTGGTTCAGTTACTTCAGCTGTATCTATGATAGAGTCAATTAAAATATAAAACCATACATTTTCTTTTTCCCTTCCTCTTCTAGCTCCATAATGGGAGTGGAGTTCGTGTGTTGGGTGGAGGAGAATTGAAGAGTAAGAGTCCACTGTCTTTAGTAGAAAGTCGAAATTATAGATTTTCAAATATATGTATATTCATGCAGGAAATTCCATATCTTACATAATATTTTAAATGTGGTAGTAATATATACTTTATAATTAGCACATCCTTTAAAAGTGTTTTTTTTAAAATATTCAAAAATAGCTTGAGTAATTTCTTAGCCTTAGGAGACTTTCTTTACACCTTTAGTTTATCCATCTCTTTCACACTCCAGTGCTAATCTTGGCTTAGCAGGAAACAGTAAAGTCCACATTGGTATTGCCTGAATTAATGAGATTTAAAAAAAATGATATTTTGAAGTACTCTTATAAAGTCTTCTTTTTAAGAAGTCCAAGTGTTTTAAAAGGTAAGTAGATTTTTTCGGGGGGGGACTTCAATATTTAAACATTTTGATTGTTTATCTATAGTACTGTAGGTTAAATATTTTTCTAATTTATCTCCATTATTTGTATTTCTAATAATGAATTACTTCTAAATAACAGTAAAATTGGGATAGAAGCAATTGACAGATTTTTCTTGTAATGTGCATTTCAAATTAACCATAGCATGTGCCTTTTCAATAGTAGTATTCATGTTTTACAGGTGATTTTATTTAAATTTGGTTAATTTTCTCTTCCTCCCATCAAAAAAAATTGAAGTTCACAAAACATCCTTTTATATTGTGAGAATAAAAATAATTTGTCATGTATTATTTAGAAGAAGATGTATATGTTTACTTATAGCCCACAAATTCACAAGATTCACCTGAACCAATGAAGTGTTTTGTCTAGCATGAACTCAGAGGCTAGGCCAGGGATTGTAATCTTTATGAGCCCGATCTAAATTTCAATGGAGGATTTATTTTTTTAAAGAGCAGTTGTCAAAGTCCAGAGTCAGAGACACCTGTATGTCTAAATGTTTCTTAAGATACTGTATACTAGTTATAGAGTAGCGCTTTTGGAACTCAGTGATTGTTATAATAATTTATTAACCATACATATTTCATTATAGTTTTATAGAGATAAACATTACTTATAAAAGAAATTATCTGTACATTTCTTCTTTCTCTTCCTATTTCTCTCATTTTAGACAGGCTTGCGTACAATTTGAATTTACACTTTCTAACCCTTCTAAATTAAAGACAGTAATTGACTAACAAAAAGCAATTTAAGGGAAATTTTCAAGGGAGTTGTTTGCCCTAATGTATTATATGTTTAATACGAAGTGTTTAAGTTATGATTAGGCAGTGTTTTGGTCAACTTGGGATGCTGTAACAAAATACCATAAACTGGGTGGCTTTTGAACAACATAAATTTATTTTTCAAAGTTTTGGAGGCTGGAAGCCTGAGATAAGGGTACTCACATGGTCAGGTTCTGAGTCTGGTGAGGGCCTGCTTCCTGATTCATAGCCATCTTTTCACCATAACCTCACAAGGCAGAAGAAGTGAGCTAATTCCCTGGGATCTTTTTTATAAGGGCACTAATCCAAGCCTAATCACCTCCCGAAGATTCCCACCTCCTAATTAGGATTTCAGCAGAGGAATTGGTCCGGGTGGGGTGATGAGGGGACACGAACATTCAGACTATACCACTAAGCCAGTGACAGCCTTATAGTGGAGATTGAAATCTCTTTTTGTTCAGGCGATTAGGAAGTCTGTGTCCTTTGAATATCGTTAGGGTCAGTATGTACTGAAATGGATAATTTTGCATTTAGATTAGTCTTTAGCGTATCTTGAATACATCTATATTCAGACTTACCAAGTTCTTCATAAAGTGTTGCCGGGTTAAAACATATTTTATGAGGGTCAGAAAATTCTGAGTTTTTCCTCCTTGTTAACTACTGGGGAAAAGTTAGTGAAGTATTTGTATTTTGTTTCTTTAGTCTTAAAATTTCAATGAAAGCTAAAAAAGGTCTGATTTTAATAGTTAATAATGACAGTTAAATATGACAAATATTTGTAATAGAATATGCTGTTAATTCCTGAAGATTAGGCCACCAAATGCCTGTTATCAATCATAACAACAGCAGACAATTGAATAGCTCTACTGTAGATTTCATTCCTACCTGGTATAGGATGAAAGTGCTTAAAAGGGATAGGAGCTTCTGGTAGCACAAAATTTATATTTCAGGTATGTTTTATGTCAGTGTTTTTCAAATGTTTTGACCCTGATCCACAGTAAATATACATTTACATGGCAACTTGTGATACACATAACTAAAATAAAAGATACCCCAAATGACATTTACCCTTACTAGGTGTGGTGCATTCTTTTTTCTGTTCCATATCGTGTTGTTAAAAATGTTGGTGTTGACCCAGTAGAATATCCACTAATGAGTGTTGGCTTGAGGTTCACAAAGCTGTTCTAAGTGGTGTGTTTTTTTAATAATTATAATTGAATGTTACTGACTTCAAAGTTAGGGTGGGTGTGTTTCCCAAGTAGTTGTAGTAGACTAAAAAAAATGTTTTTTGAATAGCGCTGATGGCAAATAAAGAAGATATAAATAACAAAACTTTTAATTTATACTTTGGCAAAAATACAGTACAACACTTTTAGATCCTCACTTTTTTTTTTTTGCCATGCCTCACGGCTTGCTGGTTCTTAGTTTCCCGACCAGGGATTGAACCCAGGCCCTCCTCGGTAGTGAAAGCCTGGATTCCTAACCACTGAACTGCGAGGGAATTCCCAAATCCTCATTTCTTGAGTAATACTTGCAGTGGGATTGCCGAGTTGTATAATAAGTGTGTTTAACTTCATAAGAAACTTTTTCGAAACAGTTGTACCATACTGCATTCCCATCAGCAGTGTTTGAGAGTTCTAGTTGTTCCACGTTCTCATCCATACTTGGCATTATGAGTCTTCCTAATTTTAGCTTTTCTAGTTGATAATGTAGGTATAATATCACTATTGTTTTAATTTGCATTTGATTTAATCCTAATGATTAATGATTTTGAGTATATTTTCATGGTTTATTTGCCATTCTTATACTTTGGTTAAATATTCAGATTTACCTTCTTAATATTGTAAAAATTCTTTATATATTCTTGATACAAGTCCTTAATCAGATATATATTTTGCAGATATTTTCTCCCAGTTTGTGTAAGTCAATTTCTCTACCACATTCCATTGATCTAGGTGTCTGCCTTTATGCCATTACTTTCGGTCTTTATAGTGAGTGTTGAAATCAGCTAGTGTGATATTTTGTACTTGGTTCTTTTTTTCAAAATTACTTTGGCTATTCTGAGTCCTTTTCATTTTTTAAATTTCAGAATCAGCTTGTCAATTTCTATAAAAAGGACTGCTGGGGTTTTGATTGATACTGTGTTGAATCTGTACCTTATTTCAGGGAGAATTGTAGTCTTTACAGTATGGAATCTTCCAATTCATAATGGTGGCTTTTCTCTCCATTTATTTTGTTGTTCCTTCATTTCTTTCAGCAATGTTATATATTTTTCAGTGTACAGATCCTATATATATATTTGCTCTATTTATTCCTATATATTTAATGTTTTTATACTATTTTAGATAGTATCATTTTATAAGTTTATAAGTAATATCAAATTATTCATTGTGCATATATAGAAATAAAATTTTTTAAAATTGGCTTTATATCGTGCAACTTTACTCAACCTACTCATTAGTTCTTTCTTAAAAAAATTAATTTCTGGCTGCGTTGGGTCTTCGTTGCTGCGTACAGGCTTTCCCTAGTTGCGGCGAGCAGGGGCTACTCTTCGTTGTGGTGTGCAGGCTTCTCATTGCGGTGGCTTCTCTTGTTACAGAGCACGGTCTCTAGGTGCACGGGCTTCAGTAGTTGTGGCTTGTGGGCCCTAGAGTGCAGGCTCAGTAGTTGTGTCGCACGGGCTTTGTTGCTCCAGGGCATGTGGAATCTTCCCCGGACTAGGGCTTGAACCTGTGACCCCTGCACTGGCAGGTGGATTCTTAACCACTGTGCCACCAGGGAAGCCCTACTCATTAGTTCTTATAAAATTTTTTTTTTTGCAGGCTTTTTTGGATTTTATGTAGTTGATTATGTCACTGCATATTAAGATTCTTCCTGGGAATTCCCTGGTGGTACAGTAATTAGGATTTGGTGCTCTCACTGCCCAGAGGGACCAGGTTCAATCCCTGGTTGGGGTACTACGATCCCACAAGCAGCGTGGTGTGACCAAAAAAAGAAAAACCAAAATAACCAAAAAACAAGATTTCTTCCTTTTTTACCTATGTTGTTTTTTTCTTCCGTTTTCAATTTTCTTGCTTAATTGCATTGACCAGGACTCCAGTAGAATCTTGAAAGGAAGTAGTAAGAGTGGACATTGTTGCCTTATTCCTCATCCTGGAAAGCATTCAGTCTTTAACTATTAAATATGTTGTTGACTGTAGGTTTTTGTAGATACCCATTGAAGAAATCCCCTTCTACTCTTAAATTGCTGAGAGTGTTTATCATGACTAGCTGTTGAATTTTGTCAGGGTTTATTCTGCATCTGTTGAATTGATTATATGATTTCTGTTTCATAGATTATGTTAACATATTGATTGATTTTTGAATGTTGAACCAACATTCAATTCCTGGGCCAAATCCTACTTGGTTATGATAAATTGTCCTTTATATATTGCTGGCTTCACTTTTGGTAAGAATTTTGTGTTTTTGTTCTTTAAGGATATTAGCTCACAGTTGTTATATTTTTGCCTGTTTTTCGCATCAGGATTATGCTGGCCTCATAAATGTGTTGGAAGTGTTCTTCTCTTTTTCTGAAGAGTTTGTGTAGACTTGAAATTACCTTTTCCTTAAATGTTCGATAGATTTCATCATTGAAGCCATCTGAGCTTGGAGTTTTCTTTGTGGGAAGGTTTTGTTTTGTTTAGTACTTTAACTTTTAATTTAGAGATAAGTGTAGATGCATGTGCAGTTGTTAGAAATAATACAAAGAGATCTCATATACCCTCAATCAATTTCCCAATGGTAGTATCTTGTACAACTATATTAATATATCACAATTAGGAAACTGACATAGATAGATCTATGAATCTTATTTATATTTCCCCAGTTTTACATGCACTTTTGCATGTGTGTATTTAGTTCCATGCAATTTTAGCACTGATTTTAGTTTTTATTTTTTTTAATTTTATTTTATTATTATTTTTTAATACATCTTTATTGGAGTATAATTGCTTCACAATGCTGTGTTAATTTCTGTTGTACAACAGAGTGAATCAGCTGTATGCATGCATATATCCCCATATTCCCTCCCTCTTGAGCCTCCCTCCCACCCTCTCTATCCCACCCCTCTAGGTCTTCGCAAAGCACGGAGCTGATCTCCCTGTGTTATGCTGCTGCTTCCCACTAGCTATCTGTTTTATATTTGGTAG